CTGGATACAATTAACTTAGGCTTGAATAAAGACTGGGAGTGGATGGGTCATTACACAAAGTAAAACTATTTCCCGATGTTTATTCCCCCACCTCCCACTGTTCCTCAGACGTTCTTGTCAACTGCTGGAAATGGCCCACCTTGATTATCACTACAAAAGGTTCCCCCCTACCCCCGCTCTCCCGCTGGTAATAGTTCACCTTAAGTGATCACTCTCTTTACAGTATGTATGGTAACACCCATTGTTTCATGTTCTCTATGTATATAAATCTCCCCACTGTATTTTCCACTGAATACATCCAATGAAGTGAGCTGTAGCCCACGGAAAGCTTATGCTCAAATAAATTTGTTAGTCTCTAAGGTGCCACAAGTCCTCCTTTTCTTTTTGCCAATACAGACTAACACTGCTGCTACTCTGAAACCCTTAATTATAGTGATAAAGCTCTGTGGTATTAAAAATATGTTCCAGAGTGTGAATACTTGTGGAACACAGCAATTATCACCTCCTCTTCCTTCTCTACTCTGGCAGAACTGGAGAAGAGAAGTTGCTAATATCTCATGAGGCTGCATACAAAGGAACAAGGAGAATCCCTGACTTCTTGTCTCACTAAACTGCGGCTTAAGGAAAATAAAGAGGAACCGCATAAGAGCAGCTCCAACAAGATTTAACAGGGAGTAAAGATTCTGTCTTCCAGAGGCTCACCCACAACTGCAAGATTTATAAATTGTTTTTAGGTCATGAGGGATTATAAACATCTAATCTGACCTCTTGTGTGACTCTGGTAATAGGACTTCCCTGAATTAACTTCTGCTTATCTGTGGTTGCTAAAGCATATAATTTAGCATCCAATCTTGATGTAAAAATTGCTAGTGATAGAGAATCCACAATAGCTCTTGATAAATTGTTCTAATGGTTAATTGCCATCACTGTTAAAAAAAACAGTCACGCTATTTCTAGTCTGAAGTTGTCAAACTTCAACTTGTACCCATTGGCTCGTTATACTTTTGTCTGCTAGTCGGAAGAGCCCTCTATTACCAAATTTCTGGTTCCACATGTAAATACTTACAGCTGTGATCAAGTCACCCAATACTTTTCTCTTTGATAAGGTAAACAGATTTAACTCCTTGAATCTTTTATAATAAAAGACAGGTTTTCCAATCCTTTAGTGGTTCTTGTGGCTTTTCTCTGAACCCTCTCAAATGTTTCAATATCCTTCTTGAATGCTGTCCAATGCTGTTGTTTAAAGTATTACAGTAGTGGTCACATCAGTGCCAAATACAGAATTAACGTGAACTGGGGAGCACTGAGTTCAGGCATCTAAGGATCACATTCACCTTTTTGGGAGTATTGCCTTGGGAGCTTGTGTTCACCGGATTATCTACTATGCCCCTCAAGTATTTTTCTAGAACAACAGATTCCCAGGATACAGTACCCAATCCTGTAAGTATGGCCTACATTCATTGTTCCTAGATGTATGACCTTAAATATGGCTATAGTGAAATCCATACTGTTTGCTTGCACCCTGCTTAACAAGTGACCCAGATTATTCTGCATCAGTGACCTGTCCTTTTCATTATTTACCAGTCCTCAATCTTTGGATCATTGCAAACTTTATCAGTAATGATTTTGTTTTCCTTCCAGGTCATTGACAAAGATGTTCAACAACATAGGGCCAAAAGCCAGTGCCATGTTGATCTTATATCATTTTAGTTTCTTAATCAAGATATCATAATGCTACCAAGTCAAATGCCATACAGAAGTCTATTACATCAACACTATTCTCTTTATTAACAAAACTTGTAATGTCATAAAAAAATAAGGTTAATTTGACAAGATCTATTTTCCATAAATCCATGTATATTGGCATTAATAAAGAAGTCCTGTACCAGCCATTCCTGATTACAGGCCTATAATTACCTGAGCCACCCCATTTACTCTTTTTAAATATGGGCACAACATTAGCTTTCTTCCAGTCCTCTGGAACTTCCCCAGTGTTCCAAGACATACTGGGTGAGAAAACACACAAACACCAACATTAACATTCCAGAGAGCTTCTCATCCAATTCTTTTAATGTCTGGATGAAAGTTATCTGAACCTGCTTATTTAAAAATATCTGCCTTTAATAGCTGCTCTTTAACATCCTTAGTTATTGTTGGAATGGAAAAGTAGATCAACATATGATTTGAATACATTATCTGGCTTTTCCCCAAATACAAAACAGAAATATTTACTGAACATTTCTCCCTTTTCAGCATTAATGAAAATTCTACCATTTCCATTTAGTAACGGACTAATCCCATTGTTAGCATTCCTTTTGTTCCTAATATACTTAAACTCATCCATATTATCCTTAACTTTGCTGGCCATGGATTTCTGTGTGTCTTTTTGCTTTACCAATTTTCTAGTTTCCTAGCTTCTATTTTACATTCAGTACTAGAAATTTTCCCCTTTCCCCGCCTTTTGTTATGTTGTTTGTTTTTTAGCTTGTTTTACTTTCCCAAAAGCAGAACACTTAATGCACATGCAGGTTGCAAAGCAGAGTCAAAGAATAAAGTGAGGTTTCAGAGTAGGAGCCCTGTTAGTCTGTATTCGCAAAAAGAAAAGGAGTACTTGTGGCACCTTAGAGACGAAAATTTATTTGAGCATAAGCTTTCGTGAGCTACAGCTCACTTTATCGGATGCACAAAAGCTTATGCTCAAATAAATTTGTTAGTCTCTAAGGTGCCACAAGTACTCCTTTTCTTTTTAAAGAATAAAGTGACATGGCCACGTAACACTCAGCAAGTTTGCAATATTTGTTGTCACATTTCCAGTTGTTCTGGAATGACCATCAGTAAAGAGGTGTGACTGTCCAATACGAGTAGTACTTTCAAGTTTCAGTGATGACTTACTGTTGACAAATTAATAAAATAATCAACTCGATTTAGCAGTTTCACCTCGTAGGAACATTAAGTGAAGAGGACAGCATTTTGGCTATGGATGGCCTTCCTCAAGATACACATTTGTGAGGGCATTATCTACTGTGGTGCCAAATGCTGCTCACCTCACCCAGGCAAGCAATCCCACTGACATCAACGGGACGACTTACATGAATAAAGCAAGCAGGATTAGACTATGGCTCAATACTTCAGTTACTATTCAAGAAAGCACTAAAGATGGATACCCTCAAACAGGGTTGCCAGGTCAATGAAGGAAGCGGGAGTGTGTGGGGAAATACCATTCTACTAAGACCCACCATTCTTCTGAGGATTCCTCCCCCTGCTTAGAAATAGTGCAACATAGTCCTATGCCTTCTGAAGCCCAGTGACTGCATTTGATGGATTGGAATTAGCTCTAGAGGAGATAATGCTTCTCTTTACCTCCTTACATGTCTGGCTCTCTCTTAAATGGCAATGTAATCTGCATTTAGAAATAGGACGAGGCCAAACTCACTAAAATGGCTGGACCCTGGAGATTTTTTCATTGCTCCTACATATGGAATTATGTGCTCACGTCTCAGTTTTATGGGCATCGCCCTCATTTAACCCAATGCACAGAAGCATTTATGTATTCCATGCCTTTCATTTAATGGGTTATGCTATCTTCCTGCATGCAGCTTTCCCCCGCACGTTTTGTGGCTGGTAAAAGTAAACGCCACAAACTGCATTTTGTTCTCATAAAATTCAGAGGACAGCAGAGACTACCAGATTATGATTTACAGAAAAAACAAAAGCACATAACATACAACCATGTACCCGGGGCTAGTTTTGTTTATATTTCTAAGGCACCTATCATCATCTGAGTGTCTCATATCTAATTGTATTGATATATGGTCCATAATTTTTTATTTCCTTTTATGCAAGAATAAAAGCATTGTTATCAATAGGTTTCACTAGGTCAGCATAGCTCTCTCACATGTAGTAAGCAGTGGTTTTTTTCTTCCCCAATGACCTTGACACAAGCCACTTAAAATTCGGATTTGATCTTGGGTTTGTAAGAGCACCTCCTTGTCATTTGTGAAGTCATCCACCATCAATGCAGAGCAACTTGGGGTTGAACCAGATACATTTTATTTTTTTCCCAAAGGGAAAGAGTTCCCATGTCTCCTACATGGCATGTGGGAGTCTGAGCTTTTCATTCAAATGCTCAGTAGCGTACCAATAGAATCCCAGAGCCACTCCACAGTTCACATAAAGTTGCACCTAAAGAACTACTCAGATTAATAAAAAGGAAGTGTTCATCCTATAATACAAAACATATTGCACAATCATGCTATAAACACATGGAAACCCTTGGAAGGTGCAGATCTAAAGCCAGAGCCTGTCAGAGAAAACGGAGACCCCTCAAACTCATTCCATTTTCCCCAGTTTAGAGGATCAGAAATTGAGTGTTCTGGCTCATAAATTCTACTCCTGGTGAATGTGAGCTTAGAACCCCAGAGGCAATAAGGAAAAGGCAATCAACAAGAACTCTAACCACTACACAGATGCTGCTGTTTAGTTTATACAACGCTTCTTAAAGCATTCGGATGGATAAAATGGGATTTCAACACGGGGGGGCTGAGGGCAGCAGGCAGGATCCCTTGGTGAAGACACCAAGGGTAAAGGAAGTTCTGAGGAGCATCATATTGGTTATGATGAGTTAACTCAGCATGCTCAACTTTTGTTCATTTTAATCTGCCAGTAAGCAAACTTGGCCATACCAAACATCCTGCTTCTAAAATGCTCTAAAAATCCACAGGAACCATAAAAAAAGAGGAAAAACAAACTGATGACTTCCCTGGGAAGCCATGAAAAGCTAATAACTATTTGTTTCCAACTGTTGTTGGGTTTCCTGTTGTCATTTCAGAACCACAGTCTGAATGTTTTCTAGCTCTTTAAAACCTTTTATAGTTCCAGGACCACCTGTTCAAATACTCTGACACCACTATACATATGCACGTCTCTACGCATCCCTCAACACAAGCCACCAGCCTGGGAAGGAAACACTTAGCCTGTTTTTCTGTTCTCGTATCACGCAGAGCGAAGACGTACTGAAGAAAGATGCAGATGGCTCTCTCAAAGCATCAAGGTCACTGTCGACTTCTACACAAAAGGGGAAATGAGTGGCTTCCAGATTCTTCAATCCCCATTTGTCATACCCTTAATGACTTATGTTATGTGTGTATAAAACTGGATACGTGTTTATAATTCTGGGGGTGGAGTGGTGAAGAGAAGGGTTTTACTTTAGAATAATTACTCCTGGGGGAATTCTGCGCCAAAAAATTAAAAATTCAGCATACAATATTTTCAAATGCTGCAAATTTTATTTGTCAAAACACTATATAATCATGCCAGTTTCAATTATTTTGGTAACTTATTTCAAAATACCTGACAGCAAGTATGTCTAGCAATACAGACACAAAAATTCCCCAGGAGTAAAGAGTTAAAGAAACCCCTACGACAACCCAGTTCCAGCTTCTCTTCCCCCTACCCCTCAGAGCCCAGCTGGGGGGTCTGACACTCACACCACCTATTCCCCAGAGCCCAGCCGCAGGTCCCCCCTGGCCCAGCTACTCACAGCCCCTTCCCTCCAGAGTCCAGGGATCCAGAAGAAGAAACAGCCTGATACAGAGTCCCGGGCTAGCACGGCATTTCCTGCATGTCACCACCGCCTTCCTTCAGGGCATGCTGGGAACTGCAGCTGCGGGGAACCCTCCAGTTCCCTTCCTCTGACCTTCTCTTCTATTTGTGAGTTGGGCTCTGCCAGGTCCAGTGGCCCCTAATGGCGGCCAACAGCTCTGCAACACATTTCTTTGGGGAAAAAAGGGAAATTCTGCGCACACAACATTAATTTCTGCAAAATTCAGCATTGTGCAGTGGCGCAGAATTCCCCCAGGAGTAAATAATGGAACCCTGTATAACACACCATGAAATTATCTTGTCCATCCTACTTCTGTGCAGAGCAAGTAGGTTGGGGAGCAGGGGGAAATTGGACCATTCAAAATACCATTGGGGGACAGACAAGACAGTCACTTATGAAAATTATACTACATTCAACAGTGCAGCTGTTCTTTTTCAACAAAGTGCCCTACTGTGAAAGGCAAAATGTCTGAATTAATGTAGATCAAGCCCCCCCCAACGAAAAAACAAGACAAGCACAATGAGTTCATGCTAACTGCAAGACAATCCGTCACAGTACTTGATTAAGTTGAGTTACTCTTCTATAGTTACGATGCACTGTGGCCATAGGTTACCTTTTATCTTTAATTATTTTTTGGCCATGGATGCCTTTGTAATGCATGGACACCATTGTAAATTCAAGAGAGAGTATATATTTAAAAGATTAACAATATTACTCTCTCTTACTACAGCAAGTATGCATAATTACCAAACCATACCAAAGCACTGCTGTCTCACTAAAGCAGAGACAAGGGGATGATGTGTTAGGAGTCTAGCACACAACTGTGTATTCTCCAGTATCAGAGGACACACAGCAGCTCCTGAATGGAATGCAAGTTGGAAATCAACCTTTCCAGACTTCATCTGAGTTTACAGGGCACGGGCACATGACACCAATAATCACAGTGAGAGGGGAACAGTGCTCAGAGAAAAATCAGTACTCTGACGTTTTGTGTGCTGATTTCTTTTGCTGTAATTTCCATCTCCTAGAGCAGTGTTTCTCAACCTTTTAATGCTGGCAACCCCGCTACTTGAAAAAATTGAGACCCTCTACCCTATCTTAGCTCGGCCTTTGGCTTCAGCCCCGCTGCCCAGGGTTGAAACATGTGAACTGGCAGGAAGCAGGGCAAAAGCCAGACGCCCCGCAAACCTATCTAATGCTGACTGTTTGTAACCCCCCTAAACCCTCACTGCGACCTCCGCTAGGGTCACGAACCCCAGGTTGAAACGCTGTCTTAGGAAGCCACACTGGAGACAGCTTTCCTTCAGGAGCAATTTGCTCTTCTAAAAAAAGAATTCCATTATTAGTTATCTGGGCTAGCCGCATATTACAAAAACCCCAGCCGACATTCAGACTGTACAGTTGTGAGTTTGGGAAGAGATTTTTATCAGTTTGATACCTCTCATTGAAAGTCAATGGGAATTAGGCACCAAGCTGCCCTATGCACTTTTGAAAAAAAAAAAATCTCACCCTTAAATAAACAGAAAAATAAAAATACTTCAGCACTACAAAAAAATAAGTCCTTCATAAAACACTAATGACTCTTCCCAGGCCCACTGTGAGGTAGGTATAATACAGATTTTACTGATGAGAAAACTGAAGCACAGAGAGGTTAAGTGACTTATCCTAGGTCAAAGAAGGAATCTGTGGCAGAACTGGGGTCGGCACTCCTAAATTCTGGTTCCCGGTCCTTTGCTCAAGCCATGATTTATCTCCAAATGAAGCAGCTGAAGCACCACTACTGGAGCTATTTAAGAGGAGATCAGTGGCACAAGAAGGCATGTTGTAGGAGAATATACTGCATGGTATATAGGAAGTTTAAGGTTCTGCTGTCAGAGATCCCTTAAATTACCAGATCAAACGCAACCACCTTGTCTGCCCTCACTTCTTCCCCATTACTTTAGTCACAGTCATCAATTTCCACATAATCTGTACGCTGAGTCTGCAATGTCATCTTCTAAATCTCTCACTGCCATTTGGAGGATCAATACCTTTGTTTCCTGGTAAGGTTTCTAAATCTTCCACAAAACTAACGTTTAGTATCCATTTACTTTCAAAGCCAGCAAAGTCACAGACCTCCTTGACAGGGAATCTGTTTCCTCAATGAACAGAGTATTAACACAAGCACAGATAGTTTGCTGGAGATTATAGTATTTCCAAAAGAGCCAAGAAGCTGTTGCCTACTCGTTCCCACTAGGAACATCAGAGGATGTGGTGCAATTTCACACCTGGGGAACTCTCATCCACTGGCTGAACTACAAGTTACATTATTAGATAAGGATATTTTCGAAAGAGACACTAGCTGTCCAGATATGGTATCCCTGCTAAGTATGAGGGGGAAATCCTTTTTCTTTCACTGATGACACAAATATGTTCTTGAACCAGAATTTATACAAGGAAATTTGTGTTTCTTCAAGCTTTATGCTGATTATAGGAGTCAGCAAGTGGATATTCACATCCCTGAATGCTTGTGTATTTCAGCAGAACTATGTCAATCATTCCTCGGCTAGATTCTAGCCCAGTGTTTTGGACACATGCCTACAAGCGGCAATGTAGATAGACTATTCAAAATGAACTGGTTTATTGTACATGATGTGCCCTTCTATAATTATACGCTAAAAACGTTCTGAGTTATTTGAACAGAGCATCAGAGAACGGCACATGTGACAACTTTGCTGAAAGCCTCATTACATTCTCCTAATTCCTTGATGGGATTTTTCTAATATTAAGACCAGACAGTACTTGATAAAAAGAACTCCTTTATTTCCATATTCTTATGGAAGAGTAGCACCTTCTCCAATACTTTGAGGCCTGCGATGAACACTCATGAAGTGCGTACTGCAGCACAGCTTCTTATGAATCCAAAGTTCCTCGGTTATAATCTTCATGCAGGAGGGTTGTGCACCACAGTGAAGTATCTGTAGCTTCCTCCTTGGCAGGTCTTATGCCATAAATTTCAGGGTGGCCCAGAACATATTTAGAAGTGAGCTTGGGTAATAATTCTCTATTTTCCACCCAATACAAATGAACAGAATGGCTCAGGCTTTCTAAAGTTTCCTTTGATTCACCTTTAAGTAGAGACCAAGTTTAGAAAGGCTCAGCAAAGGTGTGAGTGTTTTTGAAAAATTACAGTTGTCTGAAGACAGGAAGCTTCATTCAAAACCTAGAGTGGCAGCTGACACGTCTACTAGAATTTATTTTTGCCTCAGTAGCAATCAGTGTTTTTCTTGTTCAAACCAGTGTATAAAAATGACTTTTCCTATTTGCTATAAATCGACTAGTGTGGAAGTACTGTGGTAACATAGTACAACATGGTTGCCTATATAACATAGGTACTGTATATCCTGCTCTGAATGCACTGGACCTGCATTCCTAGTTGATGCAACAGGAATTTCCACACAGAAGAGTATATCTTGAACCTGAACTAAAATGGGGGTAAATCATCATATGTATGCATCATTTATTGCCTATAATTCCAAGCTGCTCAAGAGAGATGCTGTTTAATACTTGCAAGGCTTTACATGTGGCTTTTATATAAAAAAAGCTCTCTCAGATTTTGAGATATAATGGAAGAATATTTTTAAAATTAAGAGAATATTGAGCTCTTATATAGCACTTTTCATCAGTAGATCTCAAAATGCTTTACAAAGGAGAGCAGTATCATTATCCCCATTTAACAGATGGAGAAACTGAGGCACAGAGTAGTGAAGTTACTTGCCCAATTTCACCCACTAGGACAGTGGCAGAAGCAGGAATAAAACCTATATCTTCTGAGCCCCAGTCCACTGTTCTTTCCACTAGGCCAGCCAAGTGTTTAAAACAGGGAACTAAAAGTCAGGAGGTCCTGGGCTATTTTTTCCCCACCACTGTTAGTGACTGACTGTAACTTTGAATAAGGTCACTTAATTCCTGTGTCTTAGTTTTCCCCACAGTAAAATGAGGGTAACAACATTCATTTAACTCACAAAGGGGTTGTGAAGCTTAATTAGCATTTATTCAGCGCTTTGAGATCCTCAAATAAGATGCGCTAGGGAAGGGCAACATAATTTCTTTAAGCAACAGACTCAAGTGATGACAGCACTTTTCTCCCTCTCAGTCTCCTTTGACTGCTGGAGTTTTGAAGAACTTACTATCAAGCCTCGCAATTCTTTTTGTTCAGACTGCTGTCTGCATTGTGGGAAAACCTCACTACTGTATCCATTAGGATCAAAATTCTAGTCAGCTTTGCAAACTTCTGACAATCTGGTGAGGCAGAAAAGTGATAGCATCCTGGAAGACATGATACTTCAGTACAATATAAAACCCTGCCTTCCTTAATCGCAGTCATTATAAACCTTTTATGTCCTCCTCACAGAAGGGTTTTCCTGTATTCAGTGTTTAAAGAATTAAATAGACCAGGAGACAATTTGTCTTTAAATTCTTATTTGAAAAAGGAAATCTAGCTTCTGTCTCCTCATTTAATTTTCTTAATAATTAAGAAAGGGTCCCTCCTGTCCACCCCTCCTGCAACAATTTTAAGAAACACACCCCTGTATTTAAGTTACGATTTTTGCTTTGTACCATGGTTTTGAGAAAATTGGCATGTAGCTACTTACAAAATATTGCAGTCTACTTTTTACTGACTATCAACACTACCAAAAAATCCCCCACGTCTGAAGGCCCAGGTACAATGGAGTTAAACAAGGGCCTAAAACAGATAAACCATGGTTCTGTGTTGTAAAGTAGATGGCACCTGTGTTGCACCTACATACTTGAATTATGCTACAACATTGGGACAGATCAGAACTATAACAAGGTTTAACCCATACTCCCAAGCCATGGAGATATCCCATCTACACAGTAAAACTGAAGTGTTGTAACAAGGATTCTCAACCTACAGGTTGTGGCTAGGTGCCAGAAGGTTGCAACCACCCTGCTCTATCCATACAGTTAGAGCAGGGGTTCTCAAACTGGGGGTCAGGACCCCTCAGGGGGTCGCAAGGTTATTACATGCGGGGGGTCATGAGCTGTCAGCCTCCACCCCAAACCCTGCTTTGCCTCCAGCATTTATAATGGTGTTAAATATATAAAAAAGTATTTTTAATTTATTAGGGGTGGTGTCATAAATATAAAGGGAAGGGTAAACACCTTTAAAATCCCTCCCTGGCTAGAGGAAAATCCCTTTCACCTGTAAAGTGTTAAGAAGCTAGGATAACCTCGCTGGCACATGACCAAAAATGACCAATGAGGAGATAAGATACTTTCAAAGCCGGGGGGGAGAAACAAAGGTTCACTCTGTGTGTTGTTTTTGCCAGGACCAGAAAAGGAATGGAGTCTTAGAACTTAGTAAGTAATCTAGCTAGATATGCGTTAGATTCTGTTTTGTTTAAACGGCTGATAAAATAAGCTGTGCTGAATGGAATGTATATTCCTGTTTGTATTTTTTTTTTTGTAACTTAAGGTTTTGCCTAGAGGGATTCTCTATGTTTTGGATCTGATTACCCAGTAAGGTATTTACCATCCTGATTTTACAGAGGTGATTCTTTTACTTTTAATTCAATTAAAATTCTTCTTTTAAGAACCTGATTGCTTTTTCATTGTTCTTAAGATCCAAGGGTTTGGGTCTGTGTTCACTGATGCAAATTGGTGAGGATTTTTATCAAACCTTCCACAGGAAAGGGGGTGTAGGATTTGGGAGGATTCTGGGGGGAAAGACGTTTCCAAGCGGGCTCTTTCCCTGTTATATATTTGTTAGACGCTTGGTGGTGGCAGCAATAAAATCCAAGGGCAAAAGGTAAAATAGTTTGTACCTTGGGGAAGTTTTAACCTAAGCTGGTAAAAATAAGCTTAGGGGGTTTTTCATGCAGGTCCCCACATCTGTACCCTAGAGTTCAGAGTGGGGAAGGAACCTTGACGGGGGGGTCACACTAAGATGCTTGCTATGTGAAAGGGGTCACCAGTACAAAAATTTGAGAACCACTGAGTTAGTGGGAATGTCCAGGACTACTGTCTACATTGTATGGGACAGTCCCAATTTAGAAGAGGCAGAGAACCACTGTTTTAAAAGACAAACTATAAAGCAATTGAGCCCCCCAACATGGTTGTATTTACACTACAGACAGGCCCTTAGAAATCTGAGATCAGAATCAATGACAAGTAGGCCTTGACATGCAATTCCTCAGAATTCTATTAGTTTTGCTAACGTTGCTAGAACTAAATTCACTCCTGGAGGTGGACAGAGACTGAAAAGAAAGCAGGGAGCAGAAAACAAGGAGGGAAACAAAAGACCTCTTTCCTTTTTTTGGTCCTCTTTCCCTGTGAATAGTGATTGCTTCTACTCACAGCTTTCCCCAAGCAACCATAAAGTGAAACAGACATCTCTAGTCAACTTTAGAGTTATCAACAGGGTTCTGAAGAACAGCTGTGAAACTAACTAGTGTTATTGATTTCACTCACCTACTCACTGGAAAAAGCTGAGCAGCAGCAAAGGCAGGCACTAGAGTGGTCTGTAGACTCAGAGAAACCAGACTATATCATATTTCACAATTCTCTTTGCAGTCATAGGGGCTAGAATATTTTTTTTAATGAAAACCAAATTTTCTGCAGTAAATGATGATGTAAGTCCCTTCCCTCATCAGGTTAAGCTTCCCACTTGCCAGGGTTAAACTGACTTTTCAAGCCCTTCATGGACTTTATGCCTTAGGTCTTGATCCTATAAGCGATAGTGCGCAGACTCTGTGATCAGGATGTGCAGAGTCCAACTGACTTCATGGGGTTCTGCATGGGTACAGAAGCCCATGCACATACTACAGATAGCAAGAATGGAGCATTAATGTTTGCTTTTAAAGCAAATTATGGGTCAATGTTATCTATTTTTAATCAATTTAAAATAGTTTTTCTTTAATATAAAAAAATTGGTCTCATCTAAAGCACAACAGTATGAGCTCTCAGAAAGAGTGGGGGACCTGTAGGTTCCACAGAACTCACCCCCAAAGTTTTATACACTTAAAAATTAAATATGGGGTATCTTCATTTTTTTATTTAATAAAAAATGCTTATTCTCAGTTTTTTGCTTTGTTCCAGTATTATTGGTTTTAAACTAACATTAAGACCCACAGATACATACTTTCTTCTGCCAGAGAAAACAAAAAACAAAACAAAAAAAGTAGTCAGTCACAGGAAGGGATACAAACAAGCCAAAAGGCAGAAGCAGCATTATCTCCTCTATTTAAAAAAAATAAAATAAAAACCCAACCCCTCTCCCCCACAAACAAACAAAAACAACCAGGGAAGTAAATTTAAGTGGCAACCTGTGCAGAGCAGGAATGAAGCAAGATTTACAGAAAGAGAACTCAAGCAGCCTAGCCAAAGGAGAAATCTCAAAATGCACTCAGGAACAGAGGGTTAGAGTTCAGGAGAGTAAAGGAAGAGGAAATTAAGGGAACAGATGTGACTGCAAGCCAGGGACTAAAAAATTGTTACAGCTTAGAATACTGGGTCCCCAGCTATGAGTACAATTATTTGGTCTGATTAATTTCTTTATTTGAACTGCAAGAAGAAGTAGAAGAGGCATCTCAAAATTTGTTCAGCCTCCTGGACTCATGTGGAAGTCAAAAGACATTTCTTTATTTAATGGGAGTGATTGTTAAAATAAATTTGGTGATAGGAAATTTGAGAAAAAAGTTAGTCGTGATTAAGTATGTAGGAAGAGGAGATGTCACCTCACAATGAAAGAGAGCTTAAAGATAGCAGGAAATTAAATACACAGTGATGACTTTGTGAGTTGTTTTTCTTTCTTCCTGTCATAAACCAATTAAGCTACCAAATAACTGTGGCTAATTGGGAGAGAGCTAACTTTTATTCAAAAGTGTATTAGATGGTTAAGATAAGATGCTTCCTAAATCCTTTATTTAGGTTCCTTAGTGCATCAAGAGGTATCCATTTCTTGACTGGAACCAAAAGAGTGAAAAATAAAGACAGCAGCTACAGCTGAGGACCTTATGTTCCTGGGCAAACGTCAAATGACATGATTGCAACTGCTGTGTGTCAGCCTGGTCCAATGGCATGGCACATCGTGTGAGTGCCAAGAAAAGGCATGACTCTGGAGCAGAGATATGGAAATGGAAACTTCAATTTATGGGCAAGAAAGTCCCAATTTATTACCTGAAAGTATCAAAGGCTGCATGACACACAGACTCATATAAAGCCAAATCTACTCCTTGATCACCCAAGACATTCACTAAAGTTCTGAGAGTTTTGAGTAAACAATAAAAAATTTCCTAATAGGTTTCTTTGAGGCTACTCCTAATACTGTGAGTGATTAATTTTTTTGGTAAGATTTCAGGTTCCAGAAGGAAGAATACAGAGCAACCGCTATGGATGGGGGGGAGGGGAGTGGGAGACCTACCCCTCAAACCACAATTACAGCAGCTAACTGAAAATAAACTGTGCGCTCTAAAGAAACATAAAGTGGTCTTACTTTCATTAGGCAGGTCCTCCCGATCCAGGTGCTCGTTGGGTGTTGAAGTGTTGATTCCACTCTCATCCAAAGTGAGAATGAGGGGAACGTCATCATCCATTCTATTTCCTTTCAGGCTCCTCTTCCAAGAACTTTAAATAATGTATTTTGTAGTTCACCTTTCAAAAACACTTTGTCAAAAATATTCCTCAGAAAGTCCTCCATCAGGTGCATCTTCTAGACTTAAAAATATGTAGAAAGATACACCCATTTCCAGGGGATCTCAGGCCAAAAAGAATCTATCAAGCTGTTTGCAAAGAGTGGTGCAGAACAGTAAATGCACTAACAACATAAGTTTATATCCAGCCACTGGCTATTAAAACAAAAAAACTTTATCTAACTTGAGCTACTTATCCGTAACCACAATACTCATGATCTTAGCTGCAATACTCATGATTTAATTTAGAACAGAAGGAAAATAATTCTAGGTGAATCCCACAATGTTTATTAATAATAAAGAATAGGCAGGAGCTACATATATATAGTTAATATAACACTGTCACACATGGCTTCAAATCCAAAACTATTCTGTTCTTCCATCTCAAAGCTCTGGACTCCAAGGGGGGAATGGGAAAACTGGAGTCCGATGAGTGTGCACGCACACTTTTCCTCTACTACAACACTTGTGAATTCCTAAGAAGAATCCAGAAGTTACCCTAAAAGTGCCTTACTAATGATGCCGCCCCTCAACGTTGTTACGGTTTGTTTCTTTTTTTGAGGCTGCGGGTAAGTCACAGTGACGGCTGGGGCTACGGTAGAGGAAAGGCCGGGTCAGCTCACACAAACAGTAACATGTTCCCAGGACAAAAAGTGCAAATGTGCATTTCCGGGTAGCTGTGCACCAGCAAGACAGCAGCACGGTAAGGGGGGTGGGGTGTGCTACTTTGCACCTTGCCGAGGAGTCACAGGGATCACCTCCACCGAGCTGACTCCGCACCAGCCCCAGCAACTCCCTCGCGCCCTGCACGCGCCCTACAGGCCCCCCCCTCTGTCACACACACACACCTGGCGGGAGCCCCTCCTCAGCGACGCCCTCCCCGCGCGTCCCCGGCGACCCTTGTGCACTTTTCACGAGGACTTTTCACGCCGCGCCCAGCCCAAGCGAGCCCCGCGCGTGGGAGCCAAGGTTCACGCCCCCGCCGCCCGGGGAGCCCCGAGCGTCAGCCGGCGAGTCCAGCAACAGAACCGAACCCGCCAAACTACCCCCAGCCGCTGCGACAACTCGCCTCAGTCAGCCGCTGACTGAGAGCCAAGCCAAGCCCCGCCCACCGGCACCGCCCATTGGCCGCCACCCGTCAGGCTGCCTTCTGATAGCTCCCCCATCCCAGAGAGCCGCCAATCGCCCCTTGGCACCCCCTCTGCCCCGCCCTTCAACTATCGCGGTGCATGGAAGGGGATCCGGGTTTCTCCCTTTTTGTCCTCCCATTGGACGGAGGTCTCGCCCATCAAAGTAGAGGTGAGCGGTGATGTTTTTGATTGGTCAGAAGGCTAGGCACATACTGGAGACCCCGCCTTTCTCTGGAGAAGGAAGGGGCGGGACTAAGCGTGCCTAGCAAGGGCGGCGATTGGTTACGGAGGGGGGAGAGAATCCGTAAGGATCTGTCCCCACCTTCTGTGTTTGGGGTTAAAGGTTAGTGAATGGGTAACATAGCAACAGAGACACGCTGAAAACAGATGGGAAGGGAGGCGGCGGCGGCGGCGGCGGCGGCAGCTTTGATGTGAGCAGAACCTCCCCCGGGAGATGGGGAGCCCGGCCCCCAACCGAAGCCTCTTATCCCCAGCCCGACCCCCCCAGAGACCGGGGAGCCTCCCCCCCGCTCCTTGAGGGACCCCCAGGAGGACAGGGAAGCCCTTTCACCCTTCTCCCCCTTCCCTCTCCAAAGAGACTGGGGAGCCCCTCGCCACAGTCTGATCCCACCCCCAGAGAGGCCAGCGCCCCCCCAAGAGAGACCCACACACAGCCCAACTTGGCCATGTGCTCAGAAAGTCAAGCCCCTGTTCAACCCACCTTCAGAGAGACCAGGGGAGCCTCTTTATCCAGACTCCGAGAGACTGAAGAGCTTCCCCCCATCTCCTAGAAACCAGGGATCCCCACCACCATCCCAGTCTCTTCTCAGGAGCTTTCCCTCCACCTTTCAGCATGGGGAACAAATAGCTCATCACTCTGTCTCATGCCACTGAGGCTTAACATACAGTTTCACCTCCAACACAGAGACAGGCTGTCTTAGGTGTAAGGACCCAATATCCTGAATGTGCTTTTAAACCTAGAGACAGCTCCACTATAATGTAACATTCTCAATTTTTACCAAATTATATTGTGTTGCTAATGCTGAAATCAAACTTTTTTTAAGATAAGTTTTGCAAAAGAAGAGCATGCAGTTGAAGCAGTGGGGGGATCTAGATGTTGTTTGATTGAGATGTCCTCTGTGACTCTACCCATATAGAAGATTTTTGCTCCCTTTCACTTTAGAACCCTCAACTTGTAAGTATTTGGCTGAGAACATGGCAACAGAGGTAGCTACCATGCTTCAGTTGCCGTATGAGTCTACTGATTCAAGCAGCAAGTCCTCCGTGGGAAACAGTCAGACTCCAAAAAAGTCAGCGATCAAAACAAGCCCCCTAAAGCTCTTGGATCCAGGTCGTTCAAAACTTACCACTGTTGAGACGAAGAGGATCATATCTGTTTTGGATGAGACCATCTTTAAGATAGAACTGATCAGTCTGATCACTCACATTACTGAATTTCTGGATGGCTTAAGCACTATACTGGGATCTGAGCTCATGGATACCTTTAAGGAGCATGAGCAACTTTCAAACAACATGGAAGCGCTACTTACCCAGCTTCAAAGCAAAGGTCTCCTGAAGCAGGAAGATGGAAGAGGGGACCTTGTAGGAACTGAGGAACAAATCCACCGTCTTCAATTGCATCAGCAAGCTGTAAAAAGCTCTATCAGAAATATTCTGAGACTCTTTCAGGCTGACCCGCTAGCTTCTCAAGCCGTGAGAGATGAGGCCTATGCTAGGGATTTATCAGCTGAAATGTTTATTAAAAACCTTTCAGCGTTCCGGGGATTCTTGTTTGAGAAACTCCTGACTAGTCCCTTAGAAGAACAAGAAAAGATTCAATTCATGGAAGAAATCTCCCTCCGGGATAAGAAAAACACTGAAACCATCGCAGCTTTAGAGACAGAACTTGCAGCGGCAATCCAGAGTCGAGACGATGAGGTACAGTGGTAGTAAGACTAAACATTTCAGGCTAGAGGGGAAGATCATTGAAGGAAAGGCAAGTAAACTAAAATATAATCTGTTGCCTCTCATAAAGTGGAAGTCGCTGAAATGTTTCTTAAAACATTTTCTGAATTAGAAATAGATGTTACATTCTAAATATAATTAAAATGAATCACTGCATATTTAGATAGAGGCTTTCAAACATGGTTCTAGCATGTTTTGATGCCATCTTCATTGGCCAGCTCAATTGCGATTGAAGTTAAAGTGACAGTGAAGTCAAGCATGTTAGTCAATGTGTCTGAACCATTCCATAGCTAAAGGAAGGGCATTGTGCAAATCCATAAGGGAACCAGCGTGCGGCCTGCTGATATGTGGTCTATATCTTCTAATTGGCCACCGTGGCAAAGAAGGAGTCACAAAGGCCCCTCGTAGTCACGGCCATAATGTCAGCTCTCACTGAGAAGCACTAGCACCATTCCCTGTAACTGGATAGTGAAACAGTGACAGGCAGTTCTAAAAAACTGTTTTAAAAATCCATTTTTAATACTGACTCCACATTCACTATTTAACATATTCGTTACAGGCATTTTCTATGGCCTTCATCATAGTATCTCTCTACCTCATGAACATTAATGAACTAAGGCCCACATCCCCAAAGGTATTCAGGTGAAAGTAAACTGTACCGGCAGGAGGCAGCTTCCCCAACTGGCAATTTAAAAAGGCCCTGGGCTCCTGGCAGCGGCCGGAGCCCCGGGCCCTTTAAATCGCCGCCAGAGCCCCGGGGCTCCCAGCCGCCACTACCACTACCATGGGGTTCCGGCGGTGATTTAAAGGGCCCGGGTCTCCCGGCTGTTGCTAACGCAGGCAGAGCCTGGGGCCCTTTAAATCACCGCCAGAGCCCCAGGGTAGCGGCAGCAGCCAGGAGACCCAGGGCTCTGGCGGTGATTTAAAGGGCCCAGGGATTTAAAGGCCTCGCCCCTTCTGCCCAATCCGCTGCCCATTCTGGTTGAGCTCCCCCCGCCAATCTTGCTCAGGACCCCAGTCCTGCGTACCGGTAAGTCCCTTAAGTTACTTTCACCCCTGGGTATTCCCCAAAATACCTACAAGGATCTGGCCCTAAGGCTCACAATCTTCTTCTGAGGCAGTATTGTTTCTTCATTTTACAGCTGTGGAAAATGAGGCTCAGATTACACTACAGGTTGGTGGGCAGAGCCAAGACAAGAACCCCGATCTCCTGACTTCCAGTCCATCGTTGCCGTATACACAAACTATTCCTTCCTCCCTAATTATTTAACTAGTCATTTCCATTTTCATATGGGATACTGGTAGGGTTGCCAACTTTCTAATCGCACAAAACCAAAAGTCCCTGCCCCAGCCCTGCCCTGCCCACCCCTCCCCAGAGGCCCTGCCCCCACCCCACCCCTTCTCCGAGGCCCCACCCCCACTCACTCCATCCCCCCTCCCTCCGTCGCTCGCTCTCCTCCACCCTCACTCACTTTCACTGGACTGGGGCAGGGAGTTGGGGTGCAGGAGGGGGTGAGGTCTCCAGCTGGGGGTGCAGGTTCCAGGGTAGGGCCAGAAATGTGGGGTTCAGGGTCCAGGAGGGGGCTCCGGGTTGGGGCAGGGGGTTGGAGTATGGGAGGGGGTGAGGGCTCCGGCTGGGGGTGCAGCTGTGGGGTGGGGCCGGGGATGAGGGATTTGGGATGCAGGAGGGGGCTCCAGACTTGGAGCCGAGAGGTTCGGAGTGCAGGAGCGGGCTCAGGTTCCCAGCCAATTGATGCTGCAGACCCAGTGCTCGGGGTGGGGGCAGTGCACGGAGCTTCCCTGATCAGCCCTGCACCTAGGGGCCATAGGGACATGCCAGCTTCTTCTGGGAGACAGAGGGAGCCTGTCTTAGCCCCTCTGCACCACCAACCACTTTTAACAGCCTGGTCAGCGGTGCTGACCGGAGTCGCCAGAGTCCCGTTTTGACCGGGCATTCCGGTCAAAAACGGATGCCTGGCAACCCTAAGTACCAGTCTATCTTGTAGGCCTTGCATAAACAATGAAAGAAAACTGAAGTAAGGAAACAGATTAGCAATGGACAAAGCATAAGTTCACAAGTGGGCTTGTAAACAACATGTTTCAGAGTAGCAGCCGTGTTAGTCTGTATTCGCAAAAAGAAAAGGAGTACTTGTGGCACCTTAGAGACTAACCAATTTATTTGAGCATAAGCTTTCGTGAGCTACAGCTTATGCTCAGATAAATTGGTTAGTCTCTAAGGTGCTACTAGTACTCCTTTTCTTTTTGTAAACAACATGTAGTTAGTAGATAAAGACATAGTAAGAAGAGTGATGTGTGATAAGTTTACAGCTAAAAGAAAAGGAGTACTTGTGGCACCTTAGAGACTAACCAATTTATTTGAGCATAAGCTTTCGATGAAGTGAGCTGTAGCTCACGAAAGCTTATGCTCAAATAAATTGGTTAGTCTCTAAGGTGCCACAAGTACTCCTTTTCTTTTTGCGAATACAGACTAACACGGCTGTTACTCTGAAACCTGTCATTATGTTACAGCTGCAGCTTTGCTTACTAGCAGTTCTGGATCTGTACAGGGGCTGGTTACAAAAATTAGTAAGCCAATTATAAATCATGATGCAATGTAAAATGTAATGCACATTCGTTAGTTTGTTTTCAAATATGTGTATAATGTGATTTATTATTATGTGCTTTGAAGCTGTGGTAAACCTCCATACCTACCCCACTGCATTTGAGCTTGATCACTTCAGCGTAGTGTTGCTGTGTGTCAGTTAAAAAAAACCCTCAGTGATGAGTCCATATTTGAGTTAATTTCTTGGGAACCAAGTGGAAAGGGCCTCGGAGAAAAATCCCAACATTTCTACTAAACTTCTGGAACATATATGTATATTAGTTTGTTTTAATGCTGGGAGCAGTTTCCAAATTACTCCTTTCTGTCCAAAAGACTTCCACAGTGACTATTTAAAACCACAATCTAAATGTCCATTACTGCATTCCAATCAGTGGGTGACAACACACACACACACACACGTGCATGCCAACCAAAATCACTTCTCTTTCTGCTTGACTTTCCAAATATAAGGTAAATACACAAGCTCTGAGGAAGAACATTGAGCAGCTATTCTAGCCAGGCCGTTTGACATGAGGATGTTCATTATGCAGCACTCATGATTCTCATTGCTCAGAGAAGGGATTAATTAAAAAGTAATTTTAATCTCTTTCTTTTAAAATTAATTAAGAGTACAATAAAAATAGCAATACTCTTGTAGTCTTTAATTAGACCAAAACCAGTTAAGATCCAGCGTAATCTATTAATCCAGCATAATGATCTGACATCCAGTGTAATCTGTTAATAGAGCCTTGCAAAAGTATATCCAACCACTCATCTGGAGTGAGAAATATATTTGTGGGGTAAGTGATAGGTCAGATTTTTCATTATCATCATTGCAGGGAAGCATAGCTGAGTAGCTTTTGGGCTTGAATTGGTACATTTCTGTGATGATTTGATAGGGATCTATTATGAGTAGCACCTAGTTATTTTTCTTTTACAATTTAAGGCTACAATCCTGCAATCGGATCCATGTGCGCAGACCCTGCGTGCATTTAGAGCCCCATTAACTTCAGTGGGGCTCTGCACAAGCCACAAGGTCCACTGGAAATAGTCCAATTGAATGATTGGGGACAAAGTGTACTTAGCAAGGCAGTAGGTCAGGCAAGATAATCATCCTTTTTTTGCACTTGGGGGGTATCTACAGAGGAACTGAGGCATCAGGGGATGGGTTCTAATTTTCAAGCTCAGGTCAGGCATGCTGGTAATTCAATACACTCATGATTTTTAAGTGCAGTTTAGCAGTTTGCCCAGTGCTAGCAAGGAAATACATTTCACTTGTCTGTGATGTATTTTCGTCTGTTCTAGACAGCCAATAGGACTAGTTGCCCGGTCTGGCCACAGAACAGGCACAATAAGCCTGATCCCAAGCTCATTGAATTCAGTAGGAGTCTTTCCACTGACTTCAAAGGGCTTTGGATCATGTCCAGCATGGATAGCAGCTGTGCCAGCTTCCCTGTGATGCACAGCCAGTGTTCTTCAGTGCTGCCCATTCACTCCTTGGCCTGTCTGCTAAACTACCAACAAAAGAGTCAGTGAGGGTGGGGATTTCACTCGGCGCTTGTCTACACTAGAAGCACTACAGCGGCGCAGCTGCAGAACATCTGGTGAAGACACTCATTGCCAACCAGAGGGAACTCTCCAACTGGCAAAATAAATCCACCTCCGTGAGAGGTGGTAGTTATGCTTGTCCACACCAGCACTTAGGATGGTGTAATTTACATCGCTCAGGGGTGTGGATTGTTCACGCCCCTGAACAACGTAAATTAGACTGTAGTAAGCTCTAGTGTAGACTGAGCCTCAGTATTGGCCTAACTCTGCTCCCTTTGAAGTCATTGGGAGTTGCACCAGTAATGATTTCAGAGTTCTGTGCAAATGCAGTGTGCTCGCTGTCACTGGAATGCAGTTACTTATTTTAGGACACTGGTGTCTTTGTAACTAAGCCTTAATTCTCCTGTAGGTTTGATCTGAAAACCCCTTGACCTACCCTGCAGTTCCTTATGGTGCTTCTTTTTCCTGGGTTTAGATTATGAAAAAGAATGCTGCAATCAAGGATCTCAAAAGCCACTTACTTCATCTGGAGAAGTACTCTGAAAGCCACATCCAACGCACCAAGCAGGAAGCAGAGAAACTCCAAAAAGGGGAGCTGCGAAGTTCCCAGGGAAAGTGTGCCAAGATACAGCAAGATATACATCAGCTAAGAGCACAGCTCAATGTTCTCATCATAGACAATAGAGACTCAGAGCTGGCTCTCAGAAAGGTACCAAGGGAGGGGAGTTCTAGAGAAGCAAGCAGACCTGTTAAAGTGCTGTGAGTTCTTCATATTGTCTGCTAACCTTAACCACTTAACTGCTAACAGACATTCCTGGCAGAATGTATCTGCTGTGCTGCTGAGCATATCAGCTATGATCTAACATGCCACTGATTTCACTGGAAAGCAGCATCACAACAACCCACCAGCAAAGGGTCTTATTCGTAGTCACCTATAGCTCCCACCAGACATGTACATACTGGATGCCAGCCTGCCTCTGAAAACACTTTCAATATATAGCACAGGTGAGATAGTGCTCTAGTAGGTTAATGAAGCTGTCAGAATTCATAGTCCCAAAATGTTCCTGCTGGAGAGTGGCAGAATTGTGCAGGAAAAATCTATAGCGTTAAAAAACGTCACCTTTTCTTTTCTAATCAGTTCTCAGTCCAAATGGGCAGAGACCAATTTGCAGGCAGAACACATCTACTTAAAGGATGTTTACGTTATATATCTTCTCTAGCTCTTTCAAAACACTGTACAGTCCAAGGTAGAATAAGGTTTTATAGTGTAGGGGCAGTGTCAAATGAAAGTTTACAAAGCAGTATGAAATCCAAGCAGCCCCATCCATTATTAGGCCTGCGTTGTCATCCAGCTCAAATTCACTGCAGGTCATTTCTCTGCTTTCTGTTAAAAGCTGCTCAGCTCAATCAATTATACATGCTGAGAGAGTAGGGGAAGACAAAGAACACACTTTTTCACCACTGAAGTCTCCTTTCCCTTCCTATGTGCTCTATTCTCCTATGACCAATGTTTTAATTGGATTGAGGAATTCATGTGTGAAGAACTTGGACCAGTCATAGGCCAGTCCACCTCACATGAAGGCAGGAGCTGGTCATCAGGGCCTGTCAAAAACCTGGCTCTTATCCCATCCATCAGAAGAGGTGGTGGTCAAATAGGGAACTGGGTCTCTCAACAGTGACTGGGTAAGCTTAACTGTGTGAAATTCTCTGCCCTGTAATATACAGGAGGTCAGACTAGATAATCTTCTGGCCTTAAAATCTGAGCGGTTCTACAGAGTGCAGGTACCATCAGCTTGAAGGAAACCGTTCAGTAACTCTCTAGGATTCCACCAAACAGTGAGGTTAAGTCATTTTTAGCTCATTTTCCAACAGTCCAAAATATTTCTGTATTTTAACCACACCCATCATTATAGTCAGTATAGTCTCTCTGTGCTGCAACTGAATCCCAGCCATTTGCTGTAGACCAAGCATGCCCATATTCTATAGGTGAATGATGTCTGCTCTCCATTAGAGGCCCAGAGTCAAAGACATCTCGGACTGAAGAACCTTTCCAAAAGGAGCAGGCATCACAAGCATACTAGCTGCTGGGATTCAAATGAACAGCTCCTTTCATCCCAGCATACTGCATGTTATATTTCTATATTCAGCTGCCTGTAAATGTCATTTTTTCCTGTGTCATTTATTTTAGAAGAAATACAAAGTGGAGATGGAAATCGAGAACTGGATCCAGAAATATGATGCTGACATGGGAGAAAAACAGGTACTCTCAGTCGTCAAGACAGTTGGTTCTTCTTCGAGAGGGCTTGTCCATGTGGATCCCACGCAAGGGGTGCATGTGATGTACCCAGACAAGCCATTTCAAAGAAGAACCACAGTTACTATCAGGCAAGTAACCATTTTTCTGCCCTGCTTTTGTGTTCAGCTGCTCTCTGCTGTATAGGCATTGTTGAGAAGGGTCATGTCAGCTGCAAAATCCTATCCTGTTCTAGCACTGGATGATTGTTTCCTCAGTGTGTTGGATGGAATTGTTATGTTTGTTTCCTCAGCCCTACTGGCTCCACCTAGTGTACAAACCAAGTGCTCTTTCCACATCTCTACTAACTTGTTAGTCAAGTAGTTCAGAGTCTGGAGAGTGACAGCAAATCCATCGTCTATCTTCCATATTAAGCTTAACAGTCTTAGAATCACGTCCACACTGCCTAACTCCTCCCAGAATCCACTATTTCCTCTCATGTTCCTGGCATTTTAGTGGATGTTTGCTTCATTATCCAGATCAAAACAGGGTGCTTGGTTAACAGCAAAGCAAGGGCCTAAGGAGAGGGACCTGGAAAATTGTTGCTGATTGGCCTTAATAGTAGGTCCCTGCCTTGTCAACCTTGTAATCGGAAGCAGAAATGAGCTCAGAACATGATGGCTTGTGGCACCAAGCCCTGCTGGTTCCTGGCTGCTCATGAAGCCATCATCATGAGAGCAGAGACAGAATTTGATAAATTGGGGTTGGTAGGTCTGACACACAAATGTTGCTGATTCCCCTTACCCTGTCATGCAAGCAGGCTATCTCCATACTGCTTATTTTCATCCCTACAGATGGGTTATAATGACAATAAACCACCATCATCCAGATGATTGTGTTTATACCATAGATAAAAAGTTGCTTAATAAGTTGAGAGTATTGTTGCCTGGCCTGCAAGGCAATGGATAGTAACAATTGGAACCATGCCTGCAGTTTTTAAAGAAGCTTAAAGGAATTGGGAACCCAGCTCCCACTGGAGTTGGGCACCTCCTTTTAGACCTCTTTGAAAATTCCATCCCAAGAGATGAAAAGAATAAGGGCTGCAAGTGACCCTGCACGCATTTATGATGGATGAAACAATCCCTATTCATATAGGGTCTGTAAAGCTCTTTGGAACCCTTCTGGAAAAATGCTACCTATACTAAATGTAGGGTGATATTATGAATGTCATTTATAAGTCTGGTGTTTGCTGTCCTACCAGACTGAGTATGAGGAAGTCGATGCTGTCTATACTGAAGAGAAGGCCCAGCTTGCTGAGCTGAAGAAGAAGTATGCTGTGCTTGAACAAGAGTATTCCCAGATCAAGGAGGAGAGGAGGCTATCCCAAGAGAAGAAGGAAAGAGCTGAGAGGGAACTGGCTATCATGGTCCGTGCTGCCATCCACATTCAGGCCTTCTGGAAGGGCTACTTGGTCAGGTCACTGTTAAAGTCAAAGAGAAAGAAGAAGGGAAAAGGCAAGAAGAGCAAGAAATAAATTAGTTCCATCCTTTCCCCTTGCTCTCTCTTCCCAGCATTGTAGACATTTCTCTTTGGACCTCAGCTATCTAGGGTGTCGTCACTTCAACCAGACAAACAACCTCTCCAGGATGTCTATGGTTTGTATATACACAAATCTGGCATGTAAAAATGATTCTGTCATAAATAAATGTCAGCCAACATGTTAGACTTCCAGGTGGGATATTTTAATTGCTTTTGGTCTGAATTTAAGAGAAAAAGGATGATCTTGTAGTTAAGGCACTGGACTGGGAGCTGGGACTCCTGGGTTCCATCCCCAGCTCTACCACACATGCACTGTGCAACCTTGTACAAGTCACTTAGGGCCCACTCCAGTTCCTCCTGAGGTTAATGGCAAAATTCTCACTGACCCCAGCACCACTCCCAGTACAGACCCCAGCAGTGGTCCCATGTGACATATCCAAAGTACAATCTAGACTAGGTAGTAGCTGTGTCACCTCTGCCCTCTAACTTGTGGTGTCCTTTAGCCTTAGACTACACTGGGGGTGGGGGGGAAATCGATCTAAGTTACGCAACGTCAGCTACTTGAATAACATAGCTGAAGTCGATGTACTTAGACCTACTCACCGCGATGTCTTCACTACGGTGAGTCGACTGCTGCTGCTCCCCAGTCAATTCTGCCTTTGCCTCTTGCGGCGCTGGAGTACAGGAGTTGACGGGAGAGCAGTCGGGGGTCGATTTATTGCGTCTAGACTAGATGCGATAAATCGATCCCCGCTGGATCAATCGCTACCTGCCGATCCGGCGGGTCGTGTTACACTGCTTTGCTATTGTTGCCTGCACTCCTGGATTGCTCACACACCCCTTCTAGCATGTAAGTCACTCCCAGCTATGTGTGTGTGCAATTGCAGCCTGCCAGTCACACTCAGGCTTTCACTAGCCAGAATTGCACTGCAGGGTGACCCCAGCATGCTCCAAGTCTCAGACTTTGCCCAGAACTGTACGTCTTATACTGCCCAGCCCTCGCCTGGACAATACAAGCTCCTATAAAGTCTGTCATTTTATTAACAGAAATTGTATGCACAAATCTTGTTACCACAGGTGGAATTCTCCAAGCACACTGGTTTAGGATAAACCAGTAAAACAAGTTTATTAACGATAAAGAGAGATTTTAAGTGAACACAAGTAATGCGGCATAAAAGTCAGGAATGATTACAAGAAAAAGAGGAAGTTACTCACTTTCTGCAGTAATGATGGCTCTGCGAGATGAGTGTCCCTATGGGTAGGTGTATCTGCACCTCTGCACCTCTACTGGGAGATTTTAGTCTCCGTTCAGCCCCCACGTGCACCCTCGCTCCCTTGTAGTTTGCCTCAAGGCTATCTAGCGCAGGGGCTGTCAACCTTTTTTCTTTCTGAGGCACCCCCCAACATGCTGTTAAAATCTCCATGGCCCAGCCAGATGAGGAGGGAGACTCAGGGCTCTATGTCGGGGAGGGGGGGGGACCCTTGGGCATAGGAGTAGTTTGACTTCTATTTGGGGGGGAGCAGAGGCCAGTGGAGCCCAGGCCAGCTCCTGTTAGGGTTCCCTCTCCACTTTGAACTTTGGGATACAGATCTGGGGACCCACATGAAAGACCCCCCCTGAGCTTATTTTGACCAGCTTAGGTTAAAAACTTTCCCAAGGCACAAATCCATCCTTGTTTTTGGATGGGTACTGCTGCCACCACCAAGTGAGTTAGACAAAGATTTAGGAAAAGGACCACTTGGAGTTTTTGTTTCCCTAAAATATCCCCCCAAGCCCCTTCAGCCCCTTTCCTGGGGAGGCTTGAGACTAATTTACCAACCAAATAGGTAAACCAGGTGAGCACAGACCAGACCCTTGGGTTTTTAGGACACTAAAAACCAATTAGATTTTTAAAAAACAGAACTTTATTATAAAGAAAAAGAAGTAAAAAAGCACGTTTGTAAAATTAGAATGGAAGGTAACTTTACAGGGTAATTAGATTTAAAACACAGAGGATTTCCCTCTTGGCAAAACTTTAAAGTTACAAAAAACAGGGATAAATGTCCCTTTTAGCACAGGGAAAATTTACAAGCTAAAACAAATGATAATTTAACACTTTTTTTTTTTATTACTTACAATTTGTAATTTTAGATGCTTAGTTTAGGTATGGCTTTAGGAGATGTATTTTTCCTGCTCTGGTTCCTCACTGAGAGAGAACACAGAGAAACACAAAACAAAAACCTTCCCCCACAGATTGGAAAGTATCTTCTCCCCTTATTGGTTTTTTTGGTTAGGTGCCAACCAGGTTATTTAAGCTTCTTAACCCCTTTACAGGTAAAGGAGGGATTTTATGCTACCCTTAGCTGTATGTTTTTGACACGCCCCCCCAAATCATAAACAGTGCTGGACAGCCTGCTCCACACTGGCTGTGATTTCTTTCTGGAGCTTTAGGAGAAAACAGAATTAATAAAACACATGCACCTTTAGATATACTACTGATTATATAAAAACTAACAATATTTTTTACATTTTAAGGACGATTTTAACCAGTTGATTCCGAGAAACTTTTACGGGAGAGGGCATTAAGCCACTTTGTTAGAAGCTTCTGAAATGTGTTGTATTTTAAAATTAAAATTTTGAAGAGCTAAACTCCACCAAAGAAGTTTTTTGTTATTGTTCTTGACGGTACGAAGCCACTTTAGCACAGCATGGTCGGTTTGTAGGTGGAAATGCCGTCCCCAAACGTATGGGCATAGCTTTTTTAGCACATACACAATGGCGTAGCATTTCTTTTTGCTGATTGACCAGTGGCTTTTCCTCTTAGACAGTTTTTTTTGCTGAGAAACACAGCAGGATGGAATTCTTGATTCGGTCCTTTCTGCATTAAAACTGCTTCCATACCATGCTCGGACGCATTTGTGGTTACTAGGAAGGGTTTGTTAAAGTCTGGGGCCCTTAGCACTGGGTCAGACATGAGTGTTGCTTTAAGCTGGTTAAAGGCCTTCTGACACTGTTTAGTCCACTGCACTGCATTTGGCTGTTTTTGGTTTTTTTTGGTTAGGTTTGTCAGTGGGGTGGTGATTTGGCTGTAGTGCGGTACAAATCACCTGTAATATTTGGCCAAGCCTAAGAAGGATTGGACCCGTTTCTTTGACTTTGGGACAAGCCACTTTTGAATAGCATTTACTTTGGTCTGTAGGGGGGTAGATAGTTTTTTGACCCACCTGGTGTTCAAGATAAGTTACTTTGTTTAGGCCTATTTGGCACTTTTTAGCCTTAACAGTTAGTCCTGCCTTCCTTGTGCACTTAAAGACTTTTTTTAGATGCTTCAGGTGTTTTGTCCATGAATTACAAAAGATGGCCACATCATTAAGGTAGGCAACTGCAGATTTTTCCAATTCCACTAGGAGACTATTTACCAGTTTTTGGAAAGTGGAGGGTGCATTTTGCAGCCCAAAAGGGAGCACATTAAATTTATACAGCCCTACATGGGTGAGGAAGGCTGACCTTATCTTGGCAGATTTATTCAGCAGTACTTGCCAGTACCCCTTGGTTAAGTTTAAGGTAGAGATGAACTGGGCACGTCCCAGTTTCTCCAATAGCCCATCTGTGCGTGGCATTGGATAGTTGTTTGGGTGAGTTAAATCATTTAGCTTACAGTAGTCCACATAAAAGCGTATCTCTCCATTTGGTTGGTAACTAGAACCACTGGAGATGCCCATGCACTGTTAGAGGGGAGGATTACACCCATCTGTAGCATGTCATGGATCTCCAGTTCTATAGCAGTTTTGGCTTGAGGAGACACCCAGTAAGGTTTGGCTCTAATTGGGCAAGCATTACCTGTGTCAATGGAGTGGTATGCCTGTTTGGTCCGTTCTGGGGTGGCTGAGAACATCGGCGCGAAGCTAGTGCACAGCTTCATGATTTGCTGTTGCTGCATACGTTCAAGGGTTATGGAGAGGTTTACCTCTTCCATGCCACCATTACTATTTTCTTTGTAGTAGACACCTTCAGGCCACTCAGCGTCATCTCCTCCCTTGGCTGTACACTAACAAATTCTCTGGAATAAAAGGGCTTTAGAGAATTAACATGGTACACTTTAGGCTTTAGGTTTGAGGTGGGGGATGCTATGAGATAGTTAACAGCTTCCGGGTGCTCTTGGACCGTGAATGGCCCTTCCCATGACGCTTCCATTTTATGGGCCTGGAGTGCCTTCAAGACCATGACCTAGTTCCCTACTTTGACGGAATGCTTTCTGGCATGTTTATCATACCAGGCTTTTTGCTCTTTTTGAACATTTTTTAGGTTTTCTTTAGCAAGAGTTAAAGAGGTTTGGAGGGTGTTTTGTAGGTTGTTTACAAAGTCCAGAATGTTAGTTCCTGGAGAAGGCGTAAACCCCTCACATTGCTGTTTCACCAACTGTAATGGCCCCTTAACCTCGTGGCCATACACAAGTTCAAACGGTGAAAACCCTAAACTGGGATGTGGTACAGCTTTGTAGGCAAAGAGCAACTGCTGCAACACTAGGTCCCAATTATTGGAGTGCTTATTTACAAATTTATGTATCATGGCCCCCGAAGTTTCATTAAACTTCTTCACCAGGCCATTTATTTTATGGTGGTAAGGGGTGGCAACCAAGTGGTTCACCCCATGAGCTTCCCACAGCCTTTTTATGGTCCCTGCCAGGAAATTAGTTTCCGAATTTGTAAGGATGTCAGAGGGCCAACCTACCCTGGCAAAAATGTCTGTTGATGCCTGGCACACACTTTTAGCCCTGGTGTTGCTTAGAGCTACTGCTTCCGGCCATCGGGTGGCAAAATCCATGAAAGTCAGTATGTACTGCTTTCCTCTGGGTGTCTTTTTTGGAAAAGGACCCAAAATATCCACAGCTACTTGCTGAAAGGGAAACTCAATGATGCAGAGTGGCTGGAGAGGGGCTTTGACGTGGTTTTTTTTTTTTTTTCACTTTTTGGCAAACCTCACAAGACCAGACATAAGTAGAAATGTCCTTGCCCATTCCCTCCCAGTGGAATGAAGCCCCCTCAACGGTCTTTGGTCCTGTTCACCCCAGCATGGCCACTAGGATGATCGTGGGCTAAGCTCAAGAGCTTGGCCCGATACTTAGTTGGAACTACTACCTGACTTTGAGGATGCCAGTCCTCCTCGTGACCACCAGAAAGAGTTTCCTTGAATAAAAGTCCTCTTTCTACAACAAACCTGGATCGATTAGAAGAGCTGAGAGGTGGTGGGTTGCTCCGTGTCGCCGTCCAAGCTCACTGGAGGCTTTTACCTGCTTTCTGCTCAGCCTGGAACTGTTCCCTTGATTCTGGAGACATCAGTTCCTCATTGGATTGTGGACTTGGGCTTGGTTCCTTTGGAAGTGACGCAGGGGATGGGGCTGTTTTCATTGACTGTGAACCTCTCTCCGTGGGTGCACTATGTTGTGTTTCATGTCACCTTCCCCACAGCTTGAATGAACTTTGCTTTGGGTGTGTGTGTGGGGGTGACCTTCAGAAGAATCCATTTTCAAGTTTCACTGGACTATAAAGAGAGGGGAAGGGAAACATAAGACTGTAGTTTTGTTAAGTCAGCCTCTAGAAAGCATTTTATTTGCTTGTGCCCATTTCTAACTCTTTTTTGAACTCACTTAAAATCCTATCCTTTTTGTTAATAAACTCGTTTTACTTTTAATCTAAACCAACCCAATGCTCTGTTTGATTGAAAGTGAATGTTCACTCCAGTTAATGTGGCAAGCTGCTGGGTACTGTATCTTTAAAGGAACAAACAAACCTTAATCTCTCTCTCTGGTCCAGGAGAGGTTTGGACATTGCAGAGTCCATGGTTTGGGGAAAATCTGGGACTCAGAGTGTGTTGGCGTCATCTTGCCAGGTGTAACCAGTGTGTGGCCGGCGGGAAACAAGCAGGCATGTACTGGAATGAGAATTGTTGAATCAGAGCTGCTTAGCTCACAGACACTCAGTGCAGGCTTGTGTCTGGCTGGGAACATCCAGACAAAGGCCGCTACAGCGACTGAGCCTTCCGAGGCACTTAGGGTTACAGGCCAGGCAGTGACAACTCCTCACTGGTCGGTATTACACCCCAGAAAGCGACAATAACTCATTTTTAAAAAGTCAATGGAGCAGGGGAACTGGATGCTGGGTCTCCCACATCAGTGTGCTAGCCCCCACGCTATAAGGTTATTCTTGTGTTTGTGCACTCGCACACTCTCTCCTCCTTTCTCTCCTAATGACTTTAATTATTTAGCCACAGAGGACTACTTCAAAAGGAGAGACTAAGGGGTCCCTGCTTCAGAATATCCCATTCTCTGTCATCGCTGATTTTTAAATTGAGATTGGATGTTTTTCTACAAGTTATGCTCTTGCTCAAACAGGAATTAATTCAGGGAAATTCTGTGGTCTGGTGTTATGTAGAAGTTCAGACTAGGTGATCAATGGTCCCTTCTGGCCTTCTAATAAATGAGTCTATGGAAAAAACAAATCCCCCACATAGCCATATTCCCAGAGAAACTGACTGCCCACAGCCCATCCCACCTGCAGCATCGCTTCCACAGAGACACTGATGTTATATCCCTAACTCACCACAGGATGGCAGGGTCTGTGCACCTCTTGCATGTGTCTAACCCCTACAGGGCAGCAGCAGTGTCTGTAGGGTTTTATGTCATGGCTCAAAGCTCTGTGTGTGTGTGTGTGTGTGTGTTGCACAGTTCTATCCATGTGAGAATGCCACGGGACGGGGTGCAATTGGTTGATGGACCACTGGAAAGGCCACTGATTCATGTGCAAGGGACCAGTCTCAGATCCAATCTCTCAGAAGTGATTTTAAAAAAACCAAAACTGATGCCCTCTTCCCAGCTTTTTTCCTTTCAAATTTTACACAGCCCCATGATGACTTCTATTGTATAGTGGCTTGGCTGGTCTCGTGGCAAAGCTTCCTGTTTTGTTTACAATACTCCCAGATTCCCATCCCAGCTCAGCTCTTACGGACACGTTCCGTAACCTCTTGTGTATGTATATATAGAGAGAGAGACGCCATGATTTATTTAGTTCTTCCTGTTATAACCAGCAAAAGGCTGGGTCAGAAGTAACCGCCTCTACTATTTTAAGACTACAGATTCCTGCCCCTGCCTTTTTGCATGTTTCAAGGTGGTGTGACCCTCTAAAGAGGCAAACTGGGGTTGCTGGAGTGCTAGTCTTAGCTTCAGTGTTCCTTACTCTCCTGTCCTGACACCCTGTTGAGCCTGGACTCCCTTAATGGTTCTCTCTGGGGCCTCTGTTTTTAGGTTCTTCTGTGTTTTACTGCATGTTCTGTATAGCTTTTTGTCTGTTCTGGCCGGGATGAAGGGGTTGTTTTTCTGTTTCCCTTTTCACAGGGGTGTTCTGTGATCTGTTGGATCTTCATCTGATCCCACACTACCACCAGATAGTGATTACAGAGACCTAGGAAGCCAGGACATCATGGTTTGAGTGAATGTCTTTATTTCCTGTTTACATAGGCACATCTCCTTGTACTGTGCCTCCTAGTGGCCCGCCTAATAGTGACTCTCAAAACTAACACCAGACTTCTCACATATCCAATCATGGCTTGAGTGTCTGGTGGCTGGTGTCAGAGTGGTATGGTTCTTGTTCTGTATGCAAGAGGTCAAAGATTTAATTTGCTGTGGAAGTGGAGAGGGCGTTTGCTCTATTGGGATGTGTAAATGGGTGGTTAGTGTGTCTATGGAGGAATCCCTTACTGTGGGTGTTGTACGAGTAGGGGATTCCCTGATGTACATGGTCTGTGTGCACTACCCCGAGCTAGGGATACCATTGACTAGTGGGAACATTTGCTGTTTGCAAAGTTGTATGTAACCATAGGTTCAAATTCCCTTTCCTCCACCTCTTGCAGAATTGGTAAAAAGGTTCTTCTCTTTACATTTAAGTACCACATCAGGAGTTACGGTTCTTCCCATGTGGCAGCAGATGCAGCGTGTGCAGTGACTTGGTTGGTCTTGTGAAAAGCTTCCTGTTTTATGTGCAAATGGTTGCTTGACCCACTAGCCTCTTGCAGATGTGGTAAAAATGATGTTTTAGCATCTCAATAAAAGATCCCATATATCAGGGGATACAATGAACCCCTATATGAAAGGGGAATAAATAAACCTGTATATCATTGGGAAGTAATAAAAGCCATATATCAATGAAAAAAAAACCTATATCCAGAAGGAGTCAAATCAATCCATATATCAAGAGGAATTAAAAAAAAACCCCACATTTCAGGGGATTATAAAAACTCCATAGAACAGGAGATAGTAAGACCTCCCCCCAAAAATCCAAACAACCCCCCTCCATATGATTAAAATAATCTCATGTATTAAGGGCAACTGGAAAATGTCATACATCAGGGAAAGCAACAAAATCCTGGTATCTAAAGTGGGAGTAGGGGGGGAAAACACATATTTGAGGCATTAAAAACAATCAATAGATCTGTGGAGAGGGATGAAAAATACAATATACGGGGGGAGCAGTAAAAAACAAAAAACATGAAACCCTATTTCTGGAGGGAGGGATGGGTGGGGTGCACATGAGGTACCTGGCAGCCCACCCTCATGCGTGCCACTCCCTAGCACCCCATCCTGACTGCACTCAAAACCCTTGCACCCCACATGAATGGTATCCCACATCCACGACAGCTGCCAGGGCTATAGTAACCCTAAGTCTGCCCCCAGCATTGGGTCACGTATTGATATCATACAATTCTCCCAGCATGAGAAGATACAAGTATCCAACAGCAGCAAAGAGGTTAAGCAAGAGAAGTTCACTGCCCTTCTTCACTCTGACATCACAGCCAAAGGCCTCCTGTCAGCCCCCACAGAGTTTATGCAGTGAAGCCCTTTGAAAGGTGCATGAAGTTCTTTAGCAATCAAGAGTGACCATAAAGGTAGGGGCTGCTGTAGCAGCAGCTAAATGAAAGTGGGTGGGATGTGGGAGAATTCCTGCTGCCCTGGCGTTCTGAGCTACTTTATTAAGACTGCATGCAGCCCAAGAGAACTGATTGTACTCCCTGCTGCAAGCCTCGAATAAGCTGCATTACACACACTGTAGCTCTGCTCAAGCCTCTTCTAAATTGGAATAGAATGCAAAGGATTTCCAGTATAGCTATCTGCTGCCTGAAGGGACTCTGAGCAGCTTTCTTGTAACCTTATGTTTTAGTTTCCTTGTGGCGCCAGTCTTTCCACTCAGGTAAGCAGTTATTTTAGGTTGTGCATTATTTTGCTTTATGAGCAGCAAATAGATAGATTTCTCCTTGGTTGAAAACTGAAGTGCAAAGAAGCTGTTTCTCTCAAATTGTGATCAGGTTCATGATAAACACTATTGTGTTGACATTGCTACGATGGTATAATTATGGCTTTCTGAATAGATTGACTGTATCATCCTAGGCAGTGTTTGCTCTAAGTTAAAATTAAAACCTAAAAAAAGAATACTGGCTGGTGCTTCTAATTTAACATTGACAGATTGCAGCTCCCATATGCTTCAATGTGTGTTATTACTGCCAGCATAGAGTTCAGCTGATCTGCTCTGCCAGCATTATCAGCACAAAATGCAACATTTTATTTAGGTTTGGCTGCGTTAGATTTCTTTTTACATTCAGTTTGGGCCAGTCCCAGGCTTCATTAATGATAAATGTTGAATCAGTTCTTCCAGTATAAATAGCACTCACGTTTATTAATTATTCTTGGTAGCCTCCAGTGTAAGTTTGAATCATTAAGCACAAGATGCGTGGGCTAGTAATTAAAGCACAGGACAGTGAATTGGAACAGCTGGATCAAGATTTTCAAACTTGGCTGCCTAAAATTAGGCTCCTAAATCCATATTTAGGCATCTAAATTGGGATTTTTGGGGCACCTAACTCTCTTAGGTTCCATTTAAAAATCAAGCCATTTATTTAAGGGTGGAATTTTCAAAATGCTGAGCACCCTGCAGCACCAATTGAAACCAGTGAAATTCAGGCTAGTTACTTAAAAATGATCTTAGGCTGGGATTTTAAAAGGTGCCCAGGAGAGTTGGGTGCCCAGCTCCCATTGACTTTCTGTGAGATTTGGGCTCCTAATGCCATTTGGCCCCCTTGAAAATCACAGCCTTAGGACCCTAACTATAGGCAGCCAAGTGTGAAAATCTTGACTCTGAGTAAAGCAGAGTTGTAGATACAAACACTCTTCCCCCCCTCCAACTCTGAGATATTTAGATTGAACTGTAGATCCACATTTTATGGCTAGGGCACCTTTCTGCTGGGCTGCGTTTTTATCTCTGAAATAGTCTACCTGTGTGATCCTGAGCAAATCCTTTAAATTCTGTCTCTGTTTCTCCAACTGAAAAATGAAGTGATGACATTTAACAACTTGCTAAGAGGTGGAGGCTAAATTCATTAAAGTTTGCAGAGCACTTGGGGCCAGATTCTGACATACTGGCTCATAGCAATGATGATAGGGCCTACAAGACCTAGTCATGTTCCAGGACCCCATTATGCCAGGCACTGTACAAACAGAACAAAAAGACAGTCCCTATCCCAAAGTATTTATAATCTAAGTCGCCAGACGGATGGGGGAGTACAAGGAAAAAATGAGACATTATTGGTCAGCATGCCAGGCAGTCATCTCAGCACACCCGTGGCCCAATCATTGACAAGGTTTTTATAGGCTTCACAGCAAAGGAGAGTTTTAAGGAAGATTTGAAGGAATATAATGAGGCAGCATTATGGATGATTATGGGGAAATCCTCACAAGCATAAGGGGCAGCATGGGAGAATGCAGAAGGGTGCTTGAAAATTTAACAAGTGGGTGATGGAAGCCCATCATGGGCTAATAGAAGGCAGAAGTCAACCTCTTGATAGTGAAGGAGAAATGATAGGTGGGGTATGCATAGGTATGAAAAGATTTGAAAATGAAGACGTGGAGCTAATGTTTGTTGTAATAGAAAAGGGAAAGCCACTGGGGGGATGCAAAAGAGGGATGAGGTGGTCAAAATGATGGGCTAGGAGAATGATCTTTTCAGCAGCATTCAGAATGGAGATGAGCAAGGCAAGGAAGCCTGAGCAAGGCAAGCGAGAAAGATGTGGTAATCAAGACATGAGAGACTTCAAGAGAGTTTTAGGTGTGTGCATGGATAGGAAGGCCGTATTTAGGAGATATTGTGCAGAAACAATCAGCAGGATTTAGACTTAGCCTGGATGTGAAGATCTAGACAAAAGTTGGAGTCTAATGTGGTGCCCAGGTTTTGGACCTTAGTGACAGGTAGGATGGTGATATTGTCCACAGTAATCAAGAAAGGAGGTAGCAGGGAGGGACTGGGGGGTGATTAAGAGTTCTGTTTGAGCCATACTGATCTTGAGGTGACAGTTAGGCATCTATGAGTAGATGTCTGAGAGACAGGCCAAGATATTAGTTTGGACAAAAGGAGACTGGTCTGGAGTAGCAATAGAGATCTGTGAGTCATTACAGATGGTAATTGATTTGTGTTAATAGATAAGATTACTCGGAGATCCAGTGTAAAGGGTGAAGAGAAAGGAACTAAGGACTGACCTGTGTGGAACCCCCACAGAAAGTTGGAGTGGGGGGATGAGGAGGATCCTCCAGAGGACATCTGCAGGGGCAACTTGTGAGGTAGGAGGAAAACCAGGAGAGGACAGAATCATAGAAGCTAAGGGAGGACAAGATTTCAAGAAAGAAAGAGCATGGTTGATGGCCTTGTTGGTGATTGACAAGTCTAAGACCGTGAGGATGGAGTAAGGGTTCTGAGCTGTCCGTAGGAAGAGGTTATCCAGGCCTTGGTAGCAGTGGTTTCAGTGGAGTGCAAGGAGAAGAAGCTGGATTAGAGAAGTTCTAGGCTGGAACTGGAGGAGACACTATAAGGTGGGTAGAAAGTTGGCTAGACTGTCGGGCTCAACGGGTAGTGATCAATGGCTCCATGTCTAGTTGGCAGCCGGTATCAAGTGGAGTGCCCCAGGGTCAGTCCTGGGGCCGGTTTTGTTCAATATCTTCATTAATGATCTGGAGGATGGTGTGGATTGCACTCTCAGCAAGTTTGCAGATGACACTAAACTAGGAGGAGTGGTAGATACGGTGGCAGGTAGGGATAGGATACAGAGGGACCTAGACAAATTGGAGGATTGGGCCAAAAGAAATCTGATGAGCTTCAACAAGGATAAGTGCGGAGTACTGCACTTAGGACGGAAGAATCCAATGCACCGCTACAGACTAGGGACCGAATGGCTAGGCAGCAGTTCTGCGGAAAAGGACCTAGGGGTGACAGTGGACGAGAAGCTGGATATGAGTCAACAGTGTGCCCTTGTTGCCAAGAAGGCCAATGGCATTTTGGGATGTATAAGTAGGGGCATAGCCAGCAGATCGAGGGACGTGATCGTTCCCCTCTGTTTGACATTGGTGAGGCCTCAACTGGAGTACTGTGTCCAGTTTTGGGCCCCACACTACAAGAAGGATGTGGATAAATTGGAGAGAGTCCAGCGAAGGGCAACAAAAATGATTAGGGGTCTAGAACACATGACTTATGAGGAGAGGCTGAGGGAGCTGGGATTGTTTAGCCTGCAGAAGAGAAGAATGAGGGGGCATTTGATAGCTGCTTTCAACTACCTGAAAGGGGGTTCCAAAGAGGATGGCTCTAGACTGTTCTCAATGGTAGCAGATGACAGAACGAAGAGTAATGGTCTCAAGTTGCAGTGGGGGAGGTTTAGATTGGATATTAGGAAAAACTTTTTCACTAAGAGGGTGGTGAAACACTGGAATGCGTTACCTAGGGAGGTGGTAGAATCTCCTTCCTTAGAGGTTTTTAAGGTCAGGCTTGACAAAGCCCTGGCTGGGATGATTTAACTGGGAATTGGTCCTGCTTCGAGCAGGGGGTTGGACTAGATGACCTTCAGGGGTCCCTTCCAACCCTGATATTCTATGATTCTATGACCTGCAGCCCTGCTTCAATTCTCCCACTCACCAAAATGGTCAGCCGATTATTTGAACTTCAGCAAGCACTGCTCTCTCTCTCTGATTGTTCTATTGCCAAGCTCCCCCTTTCCAACCATCACTTGGTTTTTTTCAGCATCGCCCAGCAGCCCCTATCCCCCATGCCCTGAGACATTACCCAAGGTAAAATCTGGACTGATGAACAGCTTTGTCCCCTCAATCCTCCAGAATGGGGTGCTTTTTACACTGCTTTGCTATGAGAGTTACCACTTCTGGTCTGCTCCCACACAGCCTCCAGCATGTAAATTACTCGAATTACACTGCATGAATGCTATTTATTGCCAGCCACTCATGAATTACACTGCAGAACACCACCAGCAAACTCTCCAGTCCCAGATTTCCCCCAGAAATGTGCATCCTGTACTGCCCAGCCCTCTCCTGGACAATAATACAAGCTCATATAAAGTCTGCCATGTATTAATAGAAAATGATACACAAGAGCCTTATTATCCCAAATGGAGCTTCCCAAACACTTCAATCCAAACACACTGATTTAGATAAAACAATAAACCAAATTTATTAACTAGAAAATTATAGATTTTAAGTGATTAGAAGTAATGAGGCATAAACCTTAGAATTGGTTACCAAGAAATAAAAAATAAAATGGCACAAAATTAGGCAACTAATACCTAACTTAATAGCTACATGAATTCAAAGCAAAGATCTCTCTCATCACATGTCCCAACAGTCTCACTGGCTGATCCCCTTTCATATAAGAGCTCTCTCTCACTCCAGTGCTGCTTTCTTTGTTTTTCAGGTGTTGCTGATGCAGTGGGTAGAGAGATAAGGAGGGAGATATTTTGGAAAGTCTGCCTGCCCCCTTTATAGCCCTTTCTCTTGCACAAGAATCATCTCCCACTGAGGTTCAGGAAACAGAAGGGAACCTCAAGCTGGTCCTTTGTTCAAGTTGTAGATTTTCTGCACACACCCTTTTTCCTGCCCAAGAGTGGCCACTTCACTAGGTGATTATCCATTTGATCTTGTCTTAACACTATACAGAGGAATCATATATCTTTTCATGCAATGTTGCGTCACATATTTCACCAGGACAATAATGATCAGCAAATCATGAGCTTTCAAATGATACCTCACAAGGCATACTTTGTACAACACTTCCCATGGTCCTATAAAAAGGGGTGCACGTCGGAGTACAGACCATCACTCTGCCTTTCTGTGTCTTCCAGTCCATCAGCACTGATGACTTTGCTCTCA